GTGTGTGTGTGTGTGTGTGTGTGTGTGTGTGTGTGTGTGTGTGTGTGCGTGTGTGCGTGCGTGCGTGCGTGCGTGCGTGCGTGTGTCAGAGAGTGCATTAGCCGACTTGCATACGTGGTGGTTTGACAGAAATCTCATTTCCCGCTGCCCACCCCTCATCTACAAACACCCCTAGGATTGGCAGATCTGATGCTGGGTTGCCAGATCTGAAGTCCAATGAGGTCACGGTAATGCATACTGGCGCCCCGTCCAGAGCCCTGCGGATCTCATTCACCCCTATTCACTGGATCTTATTGCATAAGGATTCCATGGACATTGTAAAACTCTGTGGTGTCTAATGTGTGTAGCAGACACCCCCCCTCCACCAACTTCTACACCACATGCATGCACGCTCTCTACCTCCTGTAGTTACTCCACTGCATGGTCTGCATTGCCTTATGATCCCTTGGCTGCCATTCAGTAGCATGATGGGATATGAGAGATGAGGGAGTTCACCGTACATGTGGCCTGCATTACTCCAGGCATGCTTTCTAGGCTGAAGCAATGAGCTGCTTAATTATGTAATAAGGGATCCACCCATGTGTTCTGATCACGGTAAGGACCTAACATTCCACCGGCCCTGTTAGACACGGCAGTGTACAGATTGAACTCCCTCACTTTATCTAATGTGAACAGTAGCCTCATTAGCTAACACTGTACTATCTTGTGTTTTCCAGGTGATGAGAGAGGTGTGTGTTAATGGGAGTGTAGACTTGGATAGAGCTGGATCTGGATCACCAGTTCACAAACCCGAACTGGAAAAGGTAAACACAATTCCTATCTTTCCACCATGCTGTCCAAACTTATGTACATTCTGGTGTATCTGGACCCAAACACCACACTGTCATAAGAGGACTGTTTTTACAGATTAACAAGTCCAACACAGTTTCGGTTCAGAATAGTTCTAAATCAAGACCTTTAGTCTGCCTTCTCAGCCAACAGAAAGGTATTCCAGATCTCAACTGATTCTTTGATTGTTCATTATTTATGACTTTACCTTTTTTTTATTTACAATTGGAATTTTTAAGATAAAGCAGCAGAAAGTGATGCATTGACCACTTGGGGGCAGCAGAACAAGCTGTAATCACAACATTGCCATATTTAAGGTTGATATAGTGAACATACTTAGCTAACAGTTTACACATCAAGCTGACGCAGTGTAGATTTTTTATTTTTTTATTTTTTATTTTGCACAATTCAAACAATAAAATTTTAAATAATCAAACATAACAGAGATAATATCACAGTGCAGGAAGAGACAGAAAGCCAACTGGGCTTATTTGAAGCCTCCACCTATATAATATTAAAATTTTACAAAATTACAAAGATAAAATTAAATATGCATAAGACATTACATTACAACAAAACAAAGAAAGAAAGAAAGAAAAGATAAAAGAAAAGTGTAACATTAGCATTCATTTGGATTCAAGTTTGTGTCCACCTCATGAATCTAAGTCCAATATTCACTCTCCTATTAGCTCTGGTTTGGTCTCCACCTGAGAAAACTGAGGGGGCTGACAGTGATCATTCTTTGAGGGTTTGTCACTATAAGTGACTCTTTTTATATTAGTCATCGGATTAATTGACAATATATGACAATATGGATCAGTGCAGCTTAAGGTATAACTTATATCACAAGTAATGAAAGTGAAACCAAAATTGAATCAATAAAGGATTAAAAATAATTCAGATTTGATAAGAGGACTTGATGCAAGATTCAGATTTTTTAAAAAGCTATCAAATCCCAACACGATTGTGTACCATATGTCCCAGTAAAGGACTGTTAATTTTTGTCAACCTGAGAGGAAATAGAGGATTTGTTTTTCTTGTCTCGTCTTCCTCACATGTCAATGTTGGCTTAATTGGATCTTGTTGTACTAGACAAACAAACAAATCTGCAAATATACCTTATTCGCATAAGGGCCTCTTTTCTTGCCATGATTGAACACAATCACACCGGGAAGGAAAAGCTGTTTGCCAAATACGACTTCATTCTGTTTGGCACAAGAGGGAAATTGCGTTATTGGTTTTCATTCGGAGAAAAGCAGGTAACATAACACTGGAGACATACTGTACCCAGCACATGTGTGTGCCTTCATAAAGGCGATAACTTCCTACCTGTTTATCCTCTCAGCTCACTGGCAGTAAAAGTCACTGTGTCCAACGTTCCACCGTTTATTATAGGTGAGGCAATGAGACTTTGACTATGTCATTTTTGCAAAGACTGTGTGTTTAGGGATGGAAAATTAGGCTCTTTAATGACAAACTGCTCCCAACTTGACACAGCAAACACCAGCCCAGCCTGATTATTCATCTATACCATTTTGCAGATGCTTTTAAGGATTTGTACAATATAGTTAGACAGCTGTGTGTGTGTAATTGACTATGTCAACTTGTGTTTTTTTCTGTATAAAGAAGTATAGTTTTGTTAACTTTGTACATTCTTGTGCCTCCATTCTTCTTCCTCTGTATGGTCTCCCTAACTGCCAGAAGGCCTCGTGTGACAGACCGAGCTCCGATGGTGAAGCCACTCATGAGAACGGACAAAGCGACTGCAAGGACCAAGGTGAGTCCACAGCAGCAATAACTACACAATCTGTAACATTTTCTGGGAAATAAACATTCAATTTTCATTGAATGTATAGCCCAATATCACAAATCACAAATTTCCCACAGAGGGCTTTACAATCTGTACAACATACGACGTCTGATCCTTGGACCCTCACATTGGAGATGGAAAAACATCTGTTGCAAACAGATGAGTGAATCATTTCCATCCTGTTCATGAGTGCGTTTTAGTTTTTGTGGTGAACACAAAATGTCTGGAAGGAGTGTCCTGGGAAAACCCCTCTCTAGTGCATAGGAAATGATGATTTCTGGTTCATTAAAATCAAAAGAAGAAGAACTGGGAAGTTAAAATGAGCAACAATAGCAACCATAGAGGAGGTACCATGTAGAGGCAACAGGAGAGATGTCAGTATGCGAACCACACTGTTGTATTGACACTTAAGTGAATGGCATTAAAATATATTGTTTCCTGCAGTGTTTTTATAGCAGAGGCAGTCTGTCCCGCCTGAAATTAAGGCTGCCTCAACTACCATCAGAAAATGAGAGAGTAACAGCTAATCTTGTGCTTAGGGCCACGGCTAAACAATCCAAATTCCAGGTCCACTAGCTTTTTCCAAAGCTTTCAACTATCTCAATTAGCGATTTCCAGAGCTACCGCTAGCCGTCGCTGCAGCTGGCAGCTTTTTTTACCTGCTACATGTGTGTAGGGTTGCCAACGTTCACAAGTAACAATACAGAACGGCTGCAGATGGACATTGGCGTGTTGTTTTTTTTAAATGCGTTTTGTTTAGAAGGCCAAAAGTAACTTGTGTTTGATTGTGTGATAACTTGTGTTTGATCGTCTCCTGAACTCCCCATCATAAAACACTGCAATCACACAGTGCTGTGTTTTAAATACCATTAATGTGAGCCCTAAAGTACAAGACTAATAGTTAAGATAAATGAGAGGTAGGACATTATCAATATTGTTGTTTCTTTACTTAGTGAAAGGGTGTGTGACAGTGCTTAACAAAAGCAAACTGAACCAGAGAGCCGACACTGTGTGAAGACAGAAACTGAACACGAACAAAAATATGAACAACATGCAGGATTTCATTGAGAAACGGAGCAACAAAGAAGCAAAATGTTGTCTCTGGAGATTAACTAATATTCAATGCTCCTTAAAATGTTGTGAAGAGAAACTGTTTTGATTGTTTTGTGTCTAATTAATTGCCATGGCAACGATTTTTAGTTTTTTCATGTTGTTTTAATAAAATAAAGGTTTCTAAAAATAAAAAAAAATCTCTCTTTCTCTCTCTCTCTCTCTCTCTCTCTTTCTCTCTCTCTCAGCAAAAGGAAAGAAGAACTCAAAGTCTGAGCAGAAGACTGGGACGGTGGGGAAGGGAGCAGGGAAGAAGATCACTAAAATCATCGGGCTGGGTAAAAAGAAGCCGTCCACAGATGAGCAGAACTCCTCAGCAGAAGAAGAAGTACCCTCATGTGGTGAGAAAAAGACATTAAAGTTAATATCCTAAAGATCTTGTGTGTCATCCGACCGAGTCTGACAGTCAAAGTGTTTCTACATGTTCCCAATGACTAAAGTCAGAGCTGAACTCCACTGAAGAATGTTTTGGGTGTCTTTGAAGGCTAAATGCAATTAATTACGTAAATGGGGATAATGATACGCACTTTCAGACAGTCTCTCCTCACAAGCATTCTTGGTGGGAGTACAACATTTCAAGCAGAGATTCCCAAACCCTGGGCCATGGACCAGCAGCAGGTCTCTGAATATGTGCTGCTATGCATAAACAGCTGACTAAGAATGATATCACTTTAGTTATTACTTTGAACTTGGCGGAGTCTGTTCTGCACTTTTCCTTCATAACTCCCTGACTCACCAACAACAACATACTGATTTTGAATTAGAATAGTTCACCACATGAAGTTTGTGTGAAGACAGAGTGATCTATCTGTGTAACCACTATGAAAAACAGATATAAACCATTTCTGTTTAGCTTGGTTTAATATGTTTGTGTGCTCTCTCTCTCTCTCTCTCTCTCTCTCTCTCTCGCTGTGTCTCTGTAGTTCTTTGTGTGTCTCTGTGTGTCTCTGTGTGTATCTCTGTGTCTCTATGTGTCTCTTTGTGTGTGTCTCTGTGTGTATCTCTGCGTCTCTCTGT